TGTCGCCTGTGTGCCACGCTCTGGACACGTGGCTTGCCCAGCTCTGGCCCCTGCCGCTCCCCACGGAGAGGGAGCATCGGAAGCGATTCCAGGAGTAAGAGGGTGTGGAGAGTAGAGGGACATTACAGGGGCAGCCACGATGGCCTTTTTGTTTCCCCAAGGCCAGTCCAAATTTTGTCTTGAATCTTTGTTCAGTTTTGGCACCAAAATAACTCATGCCAAAGTTCAGGTGTTTGAGGTCAACTCTAATACATTCCGCCCTGCTGCTTCTGCCTTTGACACTTGGCCACTGTACCTGGGCACCCTCTCCCCACCCCTCTGCCAGTTTCCTTTTCCCTCTTGTCCTCTCAACCTTTCTTCTCTCTGCTTCACGCCTGGCTGCCCATGCTATTATTTCCCCTCCCAAGTCTTGCCATTGGAGCCTAGGAGTCTACAGTCAGGCTCTTCGCCACCCTCAACCATTACGAGGACCACTTGTGATGATGAATTTTAGGTGTCCACTTGGCCGGGCCATGCGTGCAGCGCTTGCTGGAATTCCAGGCTAGGTGTTGCTGTGAAGGTATTTCTGAGGTGTGATTAACATTTAAATCAGTAGACTTTGGGTAAAGCAGACTACCCTCCATGTCAGGGGTGTATGTGTTGGGGTGTTTGTACAATCAGCAGGTGGCCCGGCCTCATGAGGAAAGACTGTGGTCCCCAGAGGAAGAAGGAATTCTGTCTCCAGCTTGCCTTCGGACTCAAGATTGCAACATCAATTCTTCCTTGGATCATCCTGAGGGCCGGTCCCCACAATCTAGGGACCCAATTCCTTCAGATTAACCGCCCGCCCTATTGCTCCTGTGTCCCTGGAGGGCCCAGTGCCACACGCCGCCCCCGGGGCCCCCGCCTGCACGCTGCAGTGGAAATGGGCTTCCCTGCTGGAGGCTGCACCCTTTGATCTCAGTGCTCTGGGGCCTGGAGAAGAAAATTCTCTCAGCACCCTCCACTCTTTCCAGATGTTTTATTAAAAAAAGTTCATAGTCCATTGTAGCTCACCGCCATCCAGCGAACGACTACGCTTCCTTGTCTTTCTTCTAGCAAATTGCAGGTTGTGATCCCTCATGAGCTGAAAATTGGGACCTGTCTCAAAATTTTCCTCTCCACCTTAACTCCTGCCATAGTCCTGGGAGAGCTTTATATCTCAGCCCGTGGCCCGTCCTCACAGCCTGGCTCCACGGTCCTCAACCCTGCTCCAGTGCCCCGCATCTCTGCTCCTCTCTAGCCTTACGCACAGCCTGGATCCTGGCCTCACCAACGGCTGCTACCCACAGCAAAGATGATATTCTTCTCTCAGACTGGTCTCTTGCTCTTTCAGTTTTCTTATGAGCTCCGCTCACCCTGGCTGGACTTTCATCTCACAGATACCGCTGGCCATTGGTCTGTCCGCTTCCTTCTTGGGTCCCCTGCCCCTGCCATGCCTGTGCTGTATGACCACGCTCCCATCAGCAGCACCCTTGGTTTCCTTGGGCCACTAAATCATAAGTGCTATAAAAGCAGGGTCTGTATTGATTTTGTTCGCCCTGTATATGTAGAATAGTACATTGCAAAAACAATAAATATTTGTTAAGTGAACAAATTTCACACATGCCCAAAGAACTCCCAAGCCTGACTCATTGCTACAAGTCATTGCATTCGATCTTATACCTTAGGAAGCAGAGTAGTGACAAAACAAATCACACAACCATTTTAACTGTTTTTTAAACTGATTTTTTTTAAACTACAATTTTACAACTAAAATTCATGGTCTTTTAACTCAGCTAGAATTCAGTTTCTCATGGCTGTCAGCCTCTTCTTCCAGGACTCTCCCTGCCTAGTCAAACCTTCTGCCCTCCCTTCAAGCTGCCTTTTGCTATTTCTGATTCTGACAGCTCTTCTTATTCCCATTTCATGGAAAAAAAGTGAGAGAGTCAGGAATTATGTTTTCCTTGTGTCCACTTGCCTGCTGACACGCATTTCAGCGGTCTTCGTCTACACTGGCCTGCTCTCCACTCAGCAGACAGACACTCCACCTCTTCCTGGCCTGGCAGAAATCTTTGAGGCTGGACCCCTCCAGGATCTCAGAGAGCCCCATTTCCTGCTCCTTCACAGAAAAAGAGCTGTCCATGGCCCCAGGCAGCCGGGATTATGAAAGAGCCCGGGGGGCAGGAGACTCAGGCCCTGCATGGTAACAGCAGTCTTTGAGACCATCCACTTTCCTCCACTGAGCTTGTGCAGGGTAACGATGCTCCAGGGCCCACAGCAGTGATGTTCCGGATCACTGCAGCAGCAACAGCATCAGGACAACGGTGCTGCTCCCTGGCCTAGCAGAGCAATCCCTTCCTTTGGTTCTTTTTGCCAAATGGACTTTTCACTCTTCTTCTATGTCCCTGGGCTGTCCAGATGACGGGAGGCTGAGCCCAGAGCCCAGGGCAGCCCCAGTGGCTTTCAGGGCAGAGGCTTGCCAGAGCCCCTGTGGCCAGGCCCTGGCAGAGCTGGGACTCTGGCTTCTGATTCCATTTGGGTCATACAGTGACCACTGTTTTTATGTACACTTAAAGATCTGAGAGATGCTAAATGTTCAAGCCTGGGACTCGTGCCATCTCTTTACTGGCCCTGCTGGCACTTCTTGCATCACAAGGTCACCAGTGTGGCTGGGCTGATGCGATTTACCTGCCTTAAAAACCTTATGTGCCCTATAGGAGAATTTAGGAATGCCTTTTTTCTTAACCTATTTGTTTTTCCGCGTCCTTTACCTGTTTTGTCACAGACCACCTCGGAGGTGGATTCTGGAGTCCTCAGAAGTCCGGTGCGGTGTGGGGTGCTAGGGGCTTTTCTTTGCAGTGATCTTGGGCTTCCAGTTAGAAATTAATACAGGCCTCCAAAGCCAGCCTCTCTGGTCATAAAGCCATCTTCCTGTCCTCAGGAGAGAGCTGATAAATGACATTCAGACAGAAAACCAGAGCCTTGGGAGGCCCCTGCCCTGTCACTGTCCCTGTGTCATCCCGACCCCAGGCCAGGTACGCGCATTCTGGTGGAGCCCGGTCAGCTGTAGATCTTCCGCAGGGAGAACCAGAGGCCGCGCTGCCCCCAGGACGAACTAGCTGCAAACTCTCGGGGGCACTCGGGGCCCTTTCCGGCCTCGCCCCCCACCTCCCACCGCATGTCCCCCTGTGCCTGTCCCTGCGGCCCCCACTGTCCTCTCTGCCGACCTGCTCCGTGTAGAAGACGGTCCCACCCTGCTCGAATAGCTCATCTTCTGGGCTGGCTCTGGGAGCTCCTACGACGACGGCGTGGCGTCCCTGCGCCTCTGTGTGACCCCCGCCTCTCCCCCTCCGCGGTTACAGTCCGTGTGCCGGCTCTCTCCTGCAGCCGGCTCTGAGCGCCACAGAAGCGAGGACAGCGCCCCTGTCCCCAGCAGATCCCGGCGCGGTGCCCGCTGCCCAGCGGCAGCCCGGGGAGGGTTTGCCGAGCGGCGCGGGGGTCCGGGGGTGCACGCAGGGCACGGCGGCGCTCGGACTCGCCGGCACTGGAGGGGCTTCCAGGCCCCTGCGTGGGGCCGGCCCCTGGCGCCGCACGGCCCGGAGGCGCAGCGCGGCGCCCGCGTCCGGGCAGAAGGGGGCGCTGCAGGCGCGGCGCCCGGCTCTGGCCGCGGGCGCCCTCGCGCACTCCCTGCTCGCCCACTGCGCCCCACCCTGGCTTCTCGAAAGCAGTGCCCCTACACTCGGCCTCTCTGGGAGGTATGTTTCAACACCCTGCTCTCCATGGACGGCAGCCGCTGGCCTCTCCCCTCGCACCCAGCTCGCCGCCCTTTTCTTTAGAGCGCAGAACACAAAGGCGTTTCTCCTCTTAACGACGTGTGTGCGTGCGACGTGTGTGCGTGCGACGTGTGTGCGTGCGACGTGTGTGCGTGCGGCGTATGTGCGTGCGACGTGTGTGCGTGCGACGTATGTGCGTGCGTGTGTAACAGCTACAATGGGGAAGTGTTTCCTGAGCTAAACTCTTCTTCTGTTGTCACAGGTTAATATAAATAATAAGAATACCAATAATTTATAGTAAGAATTAACTGATTTTTTTGATTCATACATATTTTTATATAATATACCAAGTGTCCAAATACTGTTATATGTACTGGCTTCTTTACACAATAATTTGACATTTCCTTTTCATAACATATTTCCTTACAATGAGACATCATCGCAAACCTGTTAAGGTGGCTGTTGTCAACCAAAACCCCAAAAGATAACAAACATTGGTGAAGACGTGGAAAAACTGGAACCCTTGCAGAGCTGGGAGTGTAAAATGGTACGGCCGCTGTGGAAAACGCTACTGCGGCTCCTCACAAACCGAGCAATAGGAGCAACATAGGACTCAGCGTCCCACTTCTGGGCTCTGTAGGAGAGAACTGAAATCAGGATCTTAACCACTTCGGGACCAGCGTCGACTATAGCCGACAGCCACAGATGAACGCGCACAGCGACTGTAGCCGACAGCGTGATATGACTTTTCTAATTTTTCATTTATCAAAATAAAACTGTGAACATTTAAAAATAACATAATGAAAACATATATGTCTATGTTCCCTATTCTGATTGACATGACAAGTAAAGCTGCCTGTAAAGTAAACAAGCCTTCAGTGCTTTCAAGCTTTCCTCACCACACGAGAGCAAAACAGACGCGCCGTCAATGCGCAGCCCACGCCCCCGTGCGACTGCGAGTGCCCCCAAACGACTGCGAGTGCCCCCAAACGACTGCGAGTGCCCCCAAACGACTGCGAGCGCGCCGTGGGCCCGGCGTGCGGCCGTGAGCACCGGAGCGGCTACAGAAATATTGCAGTCTCATGTTCACTGCAGCACTACTGACAATGGCTAAGGCCTGGAAACAGCCTACACGTCGGCTGACAGATGACTGAAGAGAAAGTGGTATATACATACAATTAAATATTGTATTTACAAAAAGAAAGAAAGAAATAAAAAGATTTTAAAAAGAAAAAGAAAGAAATGTTTTAAAAGAAAGAAATCCTGCCACATGCCACAACACGGACGAGCCTGGAAGGCGTGATGCTCAGTGAAGTAAGCCAGACACGCAGGAGTTACCGATTTTCTTTACGTGCAGTGAGCGTCCCATTACTCACCTCTGTTCACGGACTCCCTGCATCTATGGTAACCTTTATGGTCATGGTGACCAAGAATGGGACCTAGTTAGAGCTGCTATTTTTTGAGCATTTATTCTGTGCCAGTCTCAGGGCTAGGCAGTTAACACTTCTCTTTCCAGTCCTCACAGTGGCCCCGCCAGGAGGCAGTGCGCTGTGTGGTTGCATCCGGGCTCCGGGCCACACCACCTAGGTCCAAACCTAGTTTTTCCAATTATTAGCTGTGAAGGCTCCTGACTCGCCCTGGGCCTTAGTTTTCTCATTTGTACAACATGGGTAATAATAGCACACAAACCAGAGGGGTGCTGTGAGGATGAAATGGGTGAACACATGCTAAGCACTTAAAACACAGCCTGCCATATAGTAAGCAAAAAAAAGATATTACTTTGTATCCTATATTAGGTAGAAAGAGAAACTGAGTCGGAGAGGTTAAGTAACTTGTCTGTGCCTGTGGCCTGATGTGTGACAAAATCCAATCTCTTCTCGACTATGACACCAACCAACTGCTTGTTGGTGTCAGAGCTGCGTCAGCAATGCAGGTCCTTGGTTTCCCTGCGCTCTGAGCCTGCCTTGGGTGAGGTAGGGAGGGCCTCAGGGTCCTCCCTGTAACCTTTCACTGTACATCCCGTGTTGGCCTTCAGGGGGCGCCATTGAGCTGTACTCACCAGGCTCTAGGCCCAAAGCCCTCAGCACAAATTGAAATTACACACGATGAAAAGAAAAGCTCCAAGGCTGAAATCCAAACTGCTAAGACTTTTGTCCTTATGACAAAACAGCTTCCAAAAAACAAAATTCCTTCCCTGCAAGAATGAGAGGATTTTTCTGAAGTCAAGGTTATTGCAACGTGTGTTGTTTCTTTTTTGTGTTCAAGGTACGTGCACTTTAAAAAACAAAACAAAACTATAAAGCTGCCTTAAAACAAAATAAAACAAAAAACCAGCAAAAGCACTCACACACAACCTTGGGGGCAGTATATCGTTCTCAGAATAGGCAGCCTCAACCTTGTCACAAGGGTGTTTAAAGCCTGTCTCTCCACCAAGAGAATAAAACGTTTGACTCTGATTAATGCTTATAGGAAAGCATGGATGCCCTGGAAAATAATTGGGACTAAGTTTTCTTTTGCTTATGTGTCAAATATGAGCTTCCAAACTGGGCAGCTTCGCTGGAAGCTATCAACAAGAAAGCCTACCTGTCTCAGTGGCCATCTGATGCCCACCTGGGGCGTTGCCACGTGCACTACTGGGCCTCTGGCCTGGCCCCAGTGCTGGCCTCCGCGGCCATGCCCCCGTGGTCCTGGGCTGGGCTTGCACCGCCAGAGCTCTAGGAGGATCGTCAAAGGCCCCGTGAGCCTTTGTCTGTGAATGGTGCACAGTAGTGTGATCACTGCCTGTCTGTCTGTCCCCTCAGGCACGCACTCAGCGTGGAAGAGAGCTGCCCTGCCAGAAAGAGAACACCTCCCATCCACTAGTTCTGGAAATCACCTGGCAAAAGTTTTCTCACCATCTCTAAATGAAGAAACCTCCATTTCAGCTGCCCCAGCATTCTCTTGTGCTCATCGCTGTTGTATGCCGAGGGGTAAGGTGATGTAAATGTCACCTAACTACCACAGTGGCTGTGTTGACCTTCTAGCTCTTTTGCTGGGAGCCCAGGGGTCTTTCGATGACTGGACCTTCAACTTTTGCTGAGCAGCAATGGGGCTGAGGATCACACTCAGTCAGCGTCATTCTTCCTTGGCTGTCTCTCCTCAGCCCTGCAGGACTCCCAGGGCCGTGCTGGTAAGTCCTTCCCCTCCCTCGCCCTTTGAGGAGTGATCAGGGCCCATGGGTGAGAGGTGCGTGAGAGGCGCGCACACAAACCCTGTCGGTGCGTGGCCCGCACGCCCGTCCTGGCCTTCCGGGCTTCCCGCGCACTGCCGGTCGGCCTGGGTCCGTCCTCTCTGTTGGACACAGACACTTCCAGGAGGGAAGCTTAGTCCCTAAACTTCCTAGTCTAGTTTAGTCCCTCATGTCTTCATGCGATCTAGTTAGAACTACTTTCTTTGCTGAAAAAAAATTAGGAGGAGGAAGCAGGAGAGGGAGGGTCAGGGAGCAAACCAGGGAGATGGTGAGGTGCCCCTTTCCCTGTGACTCGGGGTCAGGGAGCAAACCAGGGAGATGGTGAGGTGCCCCTTTCCCTGTGACTCGGGCGGACCTGGGGTTCTGAGACCAGCCTCAAGCACATGAGGTGTGTTTAGACGCACGGTGCCCTGGTGCCAGTTTCAGAGCAACACCCAACCCTCTCCCCTGCCCCACTGCCTGAGCCGCGCGTCAGTCCTGCACCCCACGCACACTGTGATGGCAGCAGTGCGCCTCACAGCACGCCCCGTTTCTGCGCTTGCGCGGGGCAGTGCTCGCGCAGCTCCCGCCGCAGGGAGACTCAGGCTGCGCTGCCCACTTCTGTTGGCAGTTGTGAAAATGGAGCATTCCTTAAAAAGGATTTAAAAAAATAATTGTTTAACTTATTTTTAAAAAGTCAAGTTTATCTGCTTTTCGAAATAAACAGAAATACAGTTCATAGTTTTCAGATTTCGGCTGGGGGTTTTCCTCTTTTATTTGTTTATGAAATGTTTTTGCTCCTCATCTTTAAGAAGACATTTCACACCTCCCTCTGAGTTTGTCTTGACTCTGAATGCTGAGCCAAACTTTACATTCTTGTGCCCTTTTGAGATCTGTCCACAAATGGAATCTTGAGGACTTAAATCCTGGAGAATCTTCAAGCCCCTAATTCCTTGCCACTCCATCAGCAGCCCTAGTTCAGAGAGAGCCTTCTCTGAAGGCCACGGAAGTGTAGTCATGTGGGAGACATCTGAACAGTGTCCAGGGTCACTGGGCAACCCCAAACACATGCGGCCTGCCCAGAGGGGCCTGGCGTACTTTTTTCCCTAGGCAGGAGGCAGCTGGAGTCTAACTTACTACAGACAGGTCACATTCAGTGACTTGGAGCACAGGCGGGGAACTGCAATGTCAGGCAGCACTCTTTCCTCATCACTGCCCCTATTTCTTCCCTCAGAGTCTCGGCCAGGGTGGTCCTGATAAGAGCCCTGGCCATGAGGGTGTTCTTGCAGCCCGCCTGCCGACGGACTGCTGAGCGCACAGAGCACAGGCGCCAGGGGGTGTGGAAAGAGGGCGACAGGCCCCGGATCGTGCAGGGCAGGCTCCTCATCTTTTTCTCTCTCTCTCTCCCACTTTTCTTCCCTGCTGTTCTCAGGGGGTGGTTCCCTGTCTGTCCTCTTCCCCTTAGGTGGTAAAGTCTCCCGTCCCCTGAGCGTTTCCAGTAAGCATGAAGCGCCGGCAAGCTCCTGCTGGTGGCCATTCTTTGCAGGACGCCAGCGAAGACTTTACTCAAATCAGCAAGACCGAGGGGTTTCTTCTGATCTCCTGGAAGAGCCCAGCACTAAGTAGGCTGGCTTACATGACTTGGCTGGGCTCTCGGCCTCCCTGGTGTCCTGAGCACTTGGGTGTTTGGAGCCACGGGCAGACCTCACTGTGCCAGGCGGGGCGGGTGGTGGGGCAGAGGGTGGGGTGAGGGTTGGCAGACCCACACATCTGCTGGATTAGAGCCTTGGCAGCCAGCCCCACCTGCTCACCAACAATTCATGGCATCTAATTGCTCTTTCCTTTTCTTTTTATTCAGTAACTGGGCTTAGCCCAGGAAACTCTGGCTTCCAATCCTTGAGTGTTTTGACTTGGGGACCGTAAACTGTCTGATTTCTTGGACAAACATAATCTTGAGGAATTTTTCTCTTTACACAATGGCTGGGCTCTGTGAATGTCACAGTTCCCCATTCAGGCCATGGAGGTTTTCCCCTTCCTACAGACGTCAAACTGCTTAAAATAAATATTCCGTTTGGTTTGGGGCCTTTCCTTTGGATCACTCACCTTTATCTCTGGGACTGGAAGGCAGCTGGGAAGCAGAGATAGGGCTTTTGGTGAGCCCTGTTCAGAGCTGAAGGAACAGACCAGGCTAAGGAACCCAACTGCTGTTTTGGATTTTAGTGACTCTGGGGTTCACCTCTGGCTTTGAAGAGTCCAGCCCTTTGCCATGTGGTGCTGTCTACCCATGTGATTTTCCTGTTTGGAGTAGCTACTTATTGTCTCCTCGCTGCAGTTTCCCGTGTCCGTGCCCCCCACGCAGCCACCTGAGTCATCCTTCTGAAGCAAATCTGGTCATGTCCTTCCCCCGCCCCCTGCCGGGAATCACTGAGGCCCTGGAGATGAAGTCCCACCACTCAGCCAGTGGAGCTGAGCCCTTGGTGGCCCAGCCCCTCCTGCCTGCCAGTCTCATTCCCCCCACAGCCTCCGCCGTGCAGGCTCCAGCCCACACAGGCGTGAGGGTGTTGCCTTGGCCCGTGTGAACGCTTCTGCTTAGAGTGCTTCTTCCCTTCCCTGTTGGACTCCTACTCATCCGTAGAGACCCGTTTCAGACGTTACTGTGTGACAGCATCCTCTACAGAGAGCCTGCTCCCTCCCGCGTGCACGTCTCTATTGCAGAACTTGCTGCATCAAGCTCTGGCCGAGGATCAACACATGGGGTGTGTGGTAGTGGCTGCGGATCACTAGACGGCGCCTGCTGGGTGAGGGGCCGGTGGGCTGTGCGCCGCAGGATGCGGTGTGGTCAGAGAGCAGGGCACCTGGTGCCAAGCCAGGTCCCACGCCTTCTGTGCTGTCCGTGGTTGTGACAACCTCACTCTGTTATTGAACAGGACGCGTGGCCTCACAGCAGCTTCTATTTCTGCAAACATTCGGACTGGCACTTTGAAACTGAGTCTTGCCCAGAAAATCCAGCGTGGGCTGTTGCCCTGCACGTCACCTAGTCCGTGGCACCCACCAATAAGCCGCTCGCCGGGAGCTCCCTTGCTAGGACTGAACGGCAGCGGCAGCTAGTGTGTGTCTCTCTGATTCTCAGCCACCCTCTTTTAGCACTAGGTTCTTTGTTTCCTGCTAAAAAAAGGCAACAGAAGCTGGTGACCCGTGAGTTTGCCAAGTGATTGTCGCCTCCCTTTTCAGGCCCAGGAGCCAGCGCCTGTGTTGGCGTCTTCCCCTGCCCTAAGAACGCAACCCACCCCATGCTGAAGCACCTCACCTAGGGGACACTCTCGTCTCACCATACATGCCCAGTGAGGCCGCAGTTGAGGACTGTTTTGGCAAAGCCAACTGCCCAGAACGTGTCTCTCACCATCCACCCACCCCTTTTTTTCAAAAACAGGAAGTCACCTCAGGCCAGGGTAAACCAGTCCCAGTACCCTGAGATTTGGATCTCATCAGACCTCAGAGATTTGGTTTAAAACTTGGCAAGTTAGGTCCCTCTACAGCCTGGTCATTTTCTTTTTGTCCTCTTCTAGGCTTCTAGATTTCTCTTTCTGCCATGATCTTCAGCCTTTGATTCAGAGGCAAGTTTTCGGGGTGGGACCTTCAAGAAAAGCCAACGGTGGGTTAGAGACCCTCCCAGGGATTTGAAGAGACTCCCTGCAGGTGGGCAGCTGTCCATGGTGGTTGGAATAAAGGATATGGCCTCAGATTCTGGAACCCTCTGATTTTTATGTTCCTTGGTTTTTATGTTACTTGGTTGATCCTATTACCTCAGAGCCAAGTGATACATTCATATGTTTCATCATCAAGAGTGAAAATACTAAGGCCAGGCACAGTGGCTCACACCTAAACTCTAGCACTTTGGGAGGCTGAGGTGGGAGGATAGCTTGAGCACAGGAGTTCAAGGCTGCAGTGAGCTATAATGATGCCACTGCACTCCAGTCTGGGTGACAGAGTGATACCCTGTCTCTGGGTCAAAAAAGCATGAAAATACTATAAAGATGCCAGTTTTGCTTTTTCAGCTCTATCCTAAGCAATTACTCTTTTCTGGAATGGATGAAGACACAGATGCAAGAACTTAGGTGGCCCATGACCAGAGCAGGAAGAAAAGAGTATGATCAGAGAGTCAGGAGGGCACCTCTGACTGTGTTCACACCCACGTAAGGACAGGCTACACAAGGCCTGACTTGTGAAGGCTGGGCCTGAGCTTACTACGCTTGGGTTGAGTGACACTGCACAACCAGGTGTCCAGCCGGCCCACCCCACCCTCCTTGTCTGCTGTCGAGGCCACATTCCCTCCGCTTCCTGTCTTCTCCTGACTTCCCTCTACTCTGATCACTCTCCCATGTCTAAACCAGAACTCCTTTCTGTGGAACTGAGGGACCTCTGGGATGGACAGACAGAATGAAACATGAATACCTGTGTCCCCTGGCCCCACATTGAAGACATATCCCTCCCCCATCTGACTATCAGCTGCTGACAGATGTGAGGACGCTGAGAGGAATCCAAGGTTGGGCCCAGTTTGGGGGAGGGATGGAGGACCTTAAGCTAAGACCCGCAAATCCGAGGAAGGGGAGAGGGGGCAACTGATGCTCGGTGGGATCCCCTCAGAGGGGTTCTGAGGACCTGACTCTCTTCTCACAGCTCTTTGCTGCCCCCTCATCAGCCCCAAGACAGTCTCTGGGACCCCTCTTCTTGGAAACACATGTGTGACATTTCCTTGAGGGGAGGGCTCCCGGTGCCTCCAGGTTCTGAACTGCTTCTCAGCCAGGAGGCAGGATGGTGGGTTGGGTCCTGGTGTTCCCTCCATGAGAGAAATCAAGGATGCTTACAGATTTTCTTGGGACATTTGCTGAAGTCATGTTTTAAAAGAAAAATCACATCTGATGCAACATGAACTGACCACTGAGCAGTGAGATGCATAGATTCTCAGGCTCCGGGACCCTATGGGAAATTGCCTATAGGGTCCTGCAGCCTGGGAAACTGGCCCGGAGGTTTTATGGAGTGACTAATATCCTACAGGGACCAGTCAGGTCCCAGGACTTGCATTGGGGTCAGCAGACCAGCCCCTCTCTGAGCAGCACTCCTGGGACTATGCATGTCCATCTGGAAGAAGCTGGTTTGAGATTGATTCAGAACTTCTTTCCCTTTCCCACCTCTCACCCCAGCCATGTAATTTACACATCATTTCATATTTTCTGTTGGGAAACATGAAGCATCTACAGAGCAAGCAGTGACACTCAAGCTGCAGCCAGAGCTACGTAGGGGATGGACGTGGGAGGGAGTTGCCGCAGAGAAAGGAGAGCGAGCAAGGCACGGAGACAGAGGGACCGAATGGAGGAAGGGCCAGGAAGCTGGGTCTCTCAGATTGAGTTTTGTAATGTTATAATTAGTAATCCTGTCACATTAGACACAACAGCACAAGACTCAATTGAATTTACTTTTAAAATTTGGATGATGGAATTGGGTGAGACAATGTCACAGGCAGATTCCTTTCTTTCCATCTGGGGGTATTAGTAGCAGGGGGTGTTTTGCATTTAGATATCCCACAGGCTGTTCCCGACTGAGGCACTCTTCCCCACTGCCCAACAGAATGTGGGCACCTGCCTGGTGTCATTGTCTATTGGATGAAAGACCTCCAAATCTCTCATCACTCTGAACTCCTGAAACACTGAATTTCACACACACAGCCTGGGTCCCTGGCAAGTGGATAAATTTCCAAGACTTGATTGTTCTTCTTTTCCATTGAGGGCAGGTAAAGGTTGGACTGGAAGAGGCTCAGGGAGAGAGAGTGGTCAAGTGGACATGCCTGTGATTGTATGACACCCAAATGATGTTAAATCCTGCCTTGCTGATCATGTGACTTTAGTGACCATTTGAAATTCAATTTCTTCTTATGGAAAATGTCAGAGTGTCTTGCATGTTGCATTGCACATGGTAATTGTTTGGTAAAACAGCCATTGTCATTATATCAGCTTGTTTTACCCAGGCGAAACTAGCATCCAGGTGGGAGCCTCGCATAGCGAAGGGAAATACTCCTTGAGTTGAATTAAGTGATTTGTTCAAGGTGACCAGCAAATCTCTGGCCCCAAATTCAGGGCTCTTTAGAATGAATTTCACCTTGCTCTTTGTCTGAGCAGGCTTCCTCTCTGTCTTCAGTCACAGGAACACCTGAGGTCCCTCATGGACCCTTCTTCCTGAAAGCCACTCTGCTGAAAGTGTGGCGTGGATACAAGTGAATTTAGCTCTGCCTGCTTCCCTGGGGCCAGCAGGAGCAGCTGGCTCCTCTGACTGAAGCTCCCTGGGTTGGAGCAGCTGGAGGTTGAGCTGGGGGTGGGGAAGAAGGGAAAAAGTGCCCTCAGAAGAGGAACTGGCAGATAAAGCTCTCCCCACTGCAAGCCTGGGGAGGCTGATAAGCCATCTCCAGAGGTGGAGGGGGGCTGTCTGCCCCGCTTCCTTGCAAAGCCATGACTCAGGAGCTGTCCACATCCTCAGGATGGCACAGGTGCTAAAAATAAATCCTGAAATGCAGTCCAAGAAGACCCTGCGAGGGGTGGGGTGGGGGTGCCCGTGGAGGAACTGGGGCACAGAGGAGGGAGAGGGGTGGGGCATGGCACAGCAGGGAGGCAGGCCAGGAAGGGTGTCCTGGGAGGAGACATGTTGGCTGCACACAAACCTGAAGTCAAGGTTTTACACAGCCCTGCTCTCTGCATGCTACCCACGCTGAGTGGCCCACGGCAGGGCCCGGGTCTGGTTCTGTAGCACTCACCTCCTCTACACGTCCTCAGGCCTATTGCTTTGGGCGACTCTCAGCTCCCAGGGCCATGGCCCCACAGCAAGAGGAACTTTACCTCCCCGGCCTTTCTGTGTTCCCATCCTCAGGGGAGCTGCCTGGGCACCTTCTTATTGCTATACTTTAGTCACGCGGCCTCTGTGTCTTTTGGGCAAGTGAGGTTTCTTCCCAGCAGGGCCTTTGCACATGCTATCCTTCTCCGCGGCGACGCCTGGTTACCCCCACTCACTCTTCAGAGTCACTCCCAGGGGTGCCTTCCCTGGCACCCACACGGAGTCAGAGCCCTGTTCTGCACTCTCAGAGCATCCTGTGCTTTCCTGCCACAGTGCTTGTCACACTCGCAGTTCCTTGTTAACACATGTCTCCCTGCAGGCCATCTGCTCCACTTGGACAGGGACCTCGTCAGTCTACATTGCCTCCCGCCCTGTTCTTAGCACTGAGTCCCTCTGTGTGTGGTTCAGAGCAGAGCATGGGTCTGTTGAAAAGCTGCAGTAGATGGACATTGTACTTGACTTGGGAGTTAGGGGCCAGTTGGCACAGGACACAAGGATCCTGCCTCCCAAACACACTGCTGGCATCTCGACTTCACTTTCCACCGCTGCCTTTCACTGCGTGTTGAGTCAAGCTTGCAAAGGGCTTCCCTGTTGCACTGCATTTTCTCCCATTCTCTGCAATAAAAAAGTGGTCTCTGGCTAAAGTTCTCTGCTCCTCTAACATCTGTAGCAGGGTCCCCTCTCCACCCCCACCTCCTGCCCCTCTCCCGACCTCCTGCAACCCTGGCGCAGATTGGAGGCAACGGAACACAAGGAAAATGCCTCTGCCGACACTGTGCATGTCATCTTTGGGACAGATCTGGAGGCAGAGCTGGAATTCAGGAGAGAGGAGGGGCAGTCGCCGCAGGAGCTCAGAGCCCAGGAGAGACCTGTGGGAGATCAGGCGTGCCGGGCCGGGAGCCCACACACGCCTCCGGCCACCCGCGTATCCACCCCACCAACGACCCCGAGTGCCCGCCAGGGCGTGAGACAAGCCTGCTTCCTCACAGAGCACACAGTCTGTGGGACCCGGACACCGAAGAGCCCCACAGACCAGTCCGTGGATTGCCAGTGCGTGTGTGGCTAGGAACAAGGCAACCGGGGCCGGGCTGGAGAAGCCTGTTGCTGCTGGGAGCAGGAGGCCGAGGACAGAGTACCACTGGGCTACAGGTCACCTCGCTTCCCGTCTCTGCCCTGTAGTTCTTCTTCAGTCTTGCAATGGCTTTTCTTTTTTCATTTTGTGACACAGAGTCTCACTCTGTTGCCCAGGCTGGAGTGCAGTGGCATGAGCAGAACTCAAATTCCCGGGCTCAGTGACTCTCCTGCCTCGGCCTCCCAAAGGGCTGGGGATACAGGAGTGAGCCCTGCACCCACATGGACTTTTCTTTTTTTATTAATCTCTGATCCACTCTCATTATTCTTATCCCTACTTTCTGCTTTCCAAGTTCTTTCCCTGCCGGTCCTTGCCTGTCTGTGGTTTCTATCTATCAAAAGATTTGAAAACCTAGGGCTTTGTTTTTCTTGTACATTGGCTTTTTCCAGCTAAAGCCCTGGAGGCCTGGTTCTGACTCACCCTGCCCCTCAAGCCGCCAGATCTCAGGACACAGACGGCTGGAAGACCCCTCACAGGTGGGCGTGCCTGCTCTCCCCTCCGCCCTCACTCACCGTCACTCTGTCCCTCTCTCCTCCCCTCCTGGGGCTTCCGCCCCTGCCTGGCAGGACAAGTGGTCCCCAGGCACTGCAGGGAGCCCCTCCCCGGGCGTCTCCCCCAGGCACGTGGAGAGACTTTGTTTCCGTCTTCGCCTATTGGATCTGGGTCAAGTTGATTTGCCAGAGTTTTGTGGCTGTCACTTCATTCTTCCCTACTTTTGT